ATAGAGAGAGAGAGAGATGCACAAAGAGAGACTAGGATGCTAGGGACTCTGAAATCTGAATTTTATACTCTGACACTTACCTCAATGTCAGTGTTAAGGAATTAACGCAACTTTTACAGCCACCAAGCATTTGCCAAAATCACTATTTAGGTTAACATCATCTATTTTCAGCGTAAACAATGAAAATGGAAAGAAATAAAAGTAAAACTTTAGAATGAGGAAGCCATACAAATTTCTGGCTCTGGAATTTTGTTTTGTTACAAATCCCGCTAGTCATGTACTCATTCGACAAACTCTTTTGAAAGCAGCGCCCCTAGCGGCAGTTAGAAGCTACACGCACACCACGACGCCAGAGAACGTATATTTTAAGATCTGGTAAACGGCAATTATTTCGATACGAATTGTTTGGGATATTCTTTCTTACCAGAAAACCTTCGGCTAGATCTCTATGTTCTTTTTAAAACTAAAAGCCATCTACAGAGACATGTGCGGCCTGTTTCTTGGCAGGGAAAGTAACGTATTCCCTGCTGTCGACCAAAGTCTGTACATCTAAAATTACAGTAGCTCGACTGATGATTTTAAAGGTTAGCTCGACCTTAATTCTCTCCTTGCTGTAGAACTCCCATAATATATAACGGGATGCTGAAAAGTTTGCAGCCTGAACGAAATATCCTTCCAAAAATATTCCATTTAGTAAGAATTTGGTAAGAAAATGGGGCCGCATAATTTTCAACACCCCATCGTAAAAATATGTGTCTATAGTGTTGTTCAATAAAAGTGACTCACCTGATTTTTTTTACTAAAAATATTTTTTGTCTATTGTTTTTGAGGTTAAAATAATTTTTAATCTTACTAATATAAAGACCCCTTCCTGACCACCTACGTAAAAAGTTTATTCATCCTAAGGTATTCTTTTGATAATTATAAATTTGGATATAAATGAGATTCAGGAAAAAGCTCTGTGCAAAAAAAGTGACTCAGATATTGCATTCTAATGATTAAACTGGTAAATTTAAAGAGATTTTGACAAAATATTCAAAACTATTTTACAATACACTCAGAACAATATTCTAGAGAATTCTAGAACAGCTTAAATTAAATCTAGAGTATTCCAGAAAGCCTTATGCAGTATAAAACAGCTTGAAATAGCCACTCAGAACCGCTTAAAGCATCTATTATTGCCCTCTCAAAAGCAGGTAAGTCTACGAGAGAAATTGCAGAAATTGCTATAACCTCGCAATCAACTGTCTCTCGAGTGCTTAGGGCACATAATGATGCCACTCCTGCTCCAAGGAAGGAAATAAGAGGCGAAAGAAAAAGATTGATGATAGAACTGGCAGGGTAATCAGGAGAGATGTTGCGAAGAATAGGACTATAACTAGTCAAGAAATTGCAGCCAGTCTAAGCGAAGAGCAAGGTGTTAGTCTTGCCTCTTCCACAGTCTGTCAGTGGCTGTTAGAACAAGGCTACAAATCTTGTACACGAAGGTTTAAGCCGCTAATAAGCAAAGCCAACAAAGCCAAGAGACTTGGATGGGCTCACTATTACAAGAATTTCACCGTAGAAGACTGGAAGTATATTCTCTTCTCTGATGAAACGAAAGGATAAGGTGGGTCACTTTTATCGAACAGCACTGTATATTTCTGAGACGTGTTATTGTAATTATTTACACTATTTACATTGTTCGTATTGTTGTTCCCATCTTGCCATATTCATAACGTTTCGGCCGTTGTACGCCCCGGCTTTTTTCAGGTGATATATGGAGGAAAAAGGCAGAGCACTGCACTCTGTGGGATGAGGTGTAAATAATATACAGAAAGCATCAGTGGAAAATACGAAAACTTAAAGAATCAGCATATATGATATGCCACAAAAATCTCCTACGCTGGCCAGACATAGAAATGAGTGCAATATGGGAACAAGTAATACGGAAAACAATAATAACAGCAAATTATAATATGAGCTCTGGTATATAAAATTGGTTACTGAGGCATTAGGTTTAAAACTCCTAAAAATTGCTGTTTGCTAATTGGTTTTCGATTCTAAACAAATACCAAGATATTAAAGGATGGTTTTTAAGGAAAGTATATCCAGAATTTAATTAATGCCATTAGGAATTTTTAACATATTCCATTTCTTTATTGTTTAAATTACCATATATTCATTATATTGTCATTCTCTTAGACTGGTTGCCAACCAAGGCTTAATCAACAGCTGGGAGAAAAGAGATGAGTTGTAGAAAACACAATATTCTCAGTCACGTTTGGCGTCGGTTTATGCCTAGTAAACCAACACGTACGGAGATAGATAGATAGATAGATAGATAGATAGATAGATAGATAGATAGATAGATAGATAGATAATGAACAGAGTGAGATAGATAGATAGATATCAACTGACATAGATAGATAGATTGATAGATAGATAGATAGATAGATAGATACATCCAAACAGTCTTAGATAGATAGATAGATAGATAGATAGATAGATAGATAGATAGATAGATAGATAATGAACAGAGTACGATAGATAGATATATAGATAGATAGATCCGAACAGGCTATATATATATATATATATATATATATATATATATACACACACACATATATATATATATATATATATATATATATATATATATATATATATATATATATATATATATAGAGAGAGAGAGAGAGAGAGAGAGAGATCATGAAAAACTGATATATATATATATATGCATATATAATTTATAGATATATATATAGATATAGATAATGAACAGATAGATAATGAAAAACTGATATATATATATATATATATATATATATATATATATATATATATATAGATAGATAAATAGATAGATAGATAAATAGATAGAACAGACTGAACAGACTGACATGTATGGATAGTTAAACTGAACATAGATTGTCCAATATCTTCTGATCTCTATCACCTTTAATAATCCATTATTAAAGAATCTATATTGGTACATCGAGGCGCAATCATCCCTGTCATAAGAGAATCAATTTTAGCAGCAAATATTTATTTTTCTATGTATTCTCCTTCCTTGAACTTGATAAATGTCTTCTCTGTTACTCACTTGGATCGAGACTTATACAGTGAATGGTTTCAGATCAAAATTCAGCTTCGAACTTATAAATAAATCCAACTTAGTATACATGTAACAAAAATTGTGCTTCGCCAAAAATAAGTCTACCAATGTTTTTATTCAAATGTTATTTTTTCAAACCCACAATGTTTCTAAAGGAAACGCATCAACAGGCTCTGTATAAAGTGAAAAGAAGGAACACTGATAGAAAAAGACAAAAAATACAGAAAAACTGGAATAGGCAAATTGTATTATTTACTTTATTCGGACTGTTGAACCCACAGCACTTTGGGTCTAGCCACGGGATCTAAACAAAGTCTTTATCCACGGGGCCATGTCTCCTTGAGTTGTGAGTTCAGTACAAGTCCACAGCAGTGGTGAACCAAAATCTTGGAGAGTTGAGTTAAAGGGAAATAACTTAGACATTCGGAAGAGGCATGACACGTGGAACTAGAACAATCTACCCTGGTGGACGAAATAAAAGGTTCGGATCGAAATTCCAATCATCTGAAGGCCGGAGCATACAGCGGCCGAAACGCTGTGAATATGGCAATGAAGATGAGGATAACAGTCATAATAATGTAAATAATGCAAGTAATCATAATACCTCATCTCAGGGATCTAATCACCTGAAGAAGGCCGGTGCGTTCAACGCCCGAGACGTTGTGAATGTGGCAATGAAGATGGGGATAACAGTCCGAATAAAATCAGGTGTGTCAAATTGACGGCCCGAGGACCGCATGCGGCCATTTAGAGGCAACTTGGCGGCGCTGACAAAGTATACGTGGTATATAGAGAATTTTGTCTATGTTGGTGATGCAAATTATTAAAAACAGTGAGATTTTTTTCAATTAGTATCATTAGATTTTTTATTCTATCTCAATGTTTTTTTGTTTTCAAATGTCAGTGACTATTTTTAACTTATGGTTAAGCATGTGATCATCCTTGACAACTAAATAAGAACAAATGTAAAGGGAAAACGTTCGTAATTTTCTAATATTTTATCTTAAAAATGTCGAATTCTACTCCATCTCATAAAAAGAGAAAATTATCTGAAGAAGGACGTGTGTTTCAAGAAAAAGTTGGAATTGCAATAGTTTAATACCACTGTTAATGGAAAGATAAACTGTTTGATTTGCAAACACTGCATTGCGATGCCAAAAAAATATAATGTGAAAAGACATTATGAAATAAACCATCGATCTTATGATAAATATGGAGACATGTGTGTTTAAAACGTGAAGGAATTCAAGGTTAATTTAACAGCAACAGAATTGCTTTACAAAAATTCCGAAAGTCAACATTAGTTCTATTAATGCAAGCTTTGAACTCTGCAAAATGATTGCCATCAGTGGAAAATTTTACAGTGAAGGAGATTTCATAAAGCGATGTCTTGTAAAAACAGCTGAAATTGTATGTCCAGAGAAGTCAGATTTATTTCAAGATATTTCATTAAGGAGGAACACTGTTGTTGAACTGATTGATGAAATGGCAGGTGATTTGAGTTGACAGTTGAAGACTTTATCATTTGAACATTTTTCTATTTCTCTGGGTGAGACTATTGACAGACCTCGAGTAGCGCAGCTCGCCATTTTCATCAGGGCTTGTGACAATGAATTTCAAATTCATGAAGAACTAATTGAACTGCTCCCCAATAAAGGATACTACAACAAGCCAGGATATTTTTTGAGAAAGTTGAACAGCTTCTCCATGAGTATGGCTTTGATCTGAGTAAACATCTGTGGTTATCTACTGATAGTGCTGCCAATATGGTTGGGAGACATAATAGTGTTGCTGCAAAGTTAGGTACAAAAATAGAAAATATATATCCAGATTCAACATTCAAGCATTTTCACTGTATAATTCAGTAACAGAATTTATGTTCTAAGATTTTAAAATTAGATCATGTATTGAGTTTTGTCACAGAAGCAGTGAAATATATCAGGGATCATGCTCTGCATCACCATCAGTTTAGCCAGTTATTGGAAGACGGGAATAATCAGACCACAAATGTCCCATTCTACAGAGAATTTCAGTAGCTTTCATTTCACAAAGTACTGAAAAGACCTTTTTCTAGTACGACACAAAATTGTTATGTTTTTTTTTGTTTGTTTGTTTTTTAGATGAAGGGTCAAAGCACAAATGAATTGAAAGATAGAAGCTGGCTCAAAGATCTAGCCTTTTCAGTGGATATTACTGCCCTATTAAGTGACCTTAATTTGAAATTACAAGGTTAAGGTCATCACTCAGTTATATGATGATATCAAGTGTTTCATTGTAAAATTAGCTTTATTGAAGTCCCAGTTGTCACATGAAAACTTGATTCATTTTGTGTAAGGAGTTGAAAAAAAACTGCCAATACTGAGTCTGTATTTATTTTTGCTAAGTACAACAATTACCTGGAATTGCTGTCAGAGGTATTTCAGCAAAGATTTTGTGATTTTTCATCTTGTGAAGATCAGTTTGCATTATTCTCAGCACCATTCACTTTTGATGTTGCTCAGGCAAAGGAAACTTTCCAGATGAAACTACTGGAAATACAGATTCACTCAACACTCAAGGGAAAGTACCTAGAAGTAGGGGTACCCAGATTTTTTCATACCATCGTCAAACATTTAGGAACTTCAGAAAGTTTGATTCCACATATACATGTGAGCAGTTATTTTCATTTATGAAGGCCACAAAAACATCTCACAGAACCCGATTAACTGATGAACATTTGTCATCTTTGATCAAAATGGAATCTACACAGACATTTTCAACCTGATATATCGAGAATAGTTTATCTAAAGCGATGTGAATCATCAGGACAACATAAAAATGATTAAATTATACAACATTGTATTGTAAGTATTTTGCTTTTAAAGTTAGTCACTATGAGCTGTGATTAAGAAGAGACTGTAAGCTGGTGTAGCGCTCGAGGCTGTAGATATGGCCGAAGCCGAACTCCATATGCCCTGAATATGATATATCTGATGTAAATAAATTCACAAACAACATTCGATTGTTAATGATTTGATTTTTATACATTATTTGCATTATTCGGACTATCGTCCTCATCTTTGTCGCCATATTTATTACAACATTTCAACCGTTGTACGCCCAGGCCTTCTTCAGGTGGTTGGAATGTCGAACTTAACCCCTTATTCGCTCACTGGGGTAAACTGTTCCAGTTCCACGTGCCATATTTAATGGATGTCAGATATTAGTTATCTCCTGTTAATTCACCTCTCCAAGTTCTCGACTGCCTTAACCAGATACTAAACCCACACTCTTTGGGTCCTGTCACTGGATCTAACGAACGCCTTTATCCAGTGGGCCATGTGTCCTTGAGGAACGGCCGAAACGTTGTAATAAATATGGCAACAAAGATGAGGGCGATAAATAATGTACATAATACCTCATCTAAAAAATATAGACAGAGATTTGATTTTTGGTGATAATATTGGATCTTTTACAGTAAATGATCTATTTGTTTGCTTTCGCTGCTTGGTGATATGTATCGATCTATTAAATTTTCATTAATATTTTTATATTATATATATATATATATATATATATATATATATATATATATATATATATATATATATATATATATATATATATATATATATATATTATGGAAGTATTTTTATTATACATTATTTCTTATTGGTATAAACGTTAATTTTAGTAGGTGTTGCGTGTCGGCCTCCCGGTGTATGTGTTGAGATATAAACACGTGTATCTCCTGAAATGCCCACAACAAAATGCCAGACTCAGGATATGAGACCACGTAAAGAAATGTAAAGAAACAACAAGAACCGATATATATATATATATATATATATATATATATATATATATATATATATATAAACAAATGATAATGCATTAACAATAAAGGGTTACATGTGGCAAAGACAATAATGTATGTAACAAATGAATGTGGAAACTTTTTGGTCCAAAGTATGTGAAGTGTATGAATAGGTGCGTGTGTATGTACTGTTTTCCCAAATAGGGAACTCGTTCTTCCGTTAGAAATTTACATGTTGTCGCATGAGCGGAAAAGTAAGAAGAGAATGATACAATTTTATCGCAGAGTATTTATAGCGCCGGAGAGCGTCCCCTAGTAGCGGTTTCGAAAATTAAGAGGAGATAACTCGACATGGAGAGACGTGTTTGAGTCGATGTCGTTGTTATTTTTGAACAGTGAAATTAATACCAACTGGCCAAGAAATCGAAAAGTGTCCTCCCGACAGAAATCGAACCTATTCTCTTTTGCATCAGGTAATAAATGTTTTTATGAGTAAATATTCTTAATTTCCCAGCAGGTACTGCTTCTAAACATTTGACTAATGCAGTAAAAATAAACTTTTAAGAGGAGATCTTCGTTGTCTGGCTGAGAACTCTTCAGC